TAAGAAAAAATTAGTAAGTATAGAACCTTAGACGGCTTAAAAACAGCAGAGAAGACCATAGAATGAGAAGGTCTTGAGGAAAGTCGGATCCTGAGTCGAAGAGACTCATATAGCTCGAATACGCCGGAAAATGGCCGGAGAGGCCATAGATCTTACAAATATGAGATAGATCTAAAGGAAGCCATTGAAATCGGCCTTCAAACCTCGAGTGGCTTAGGTTTAATGGTGAGAGAGAGTGAGCACAGGCCATCCATGGCCAGGAATGCCATGGATTCCGGTGGAAACATGACAGAAGTATGTGGGAATTCATTAGGATTTCGGGGAGGGCTAGAGAGGATTTGGGAGATGAAAAGAGTTCAAAGGCGGTGTCTTTAATACAAATGAGTTAGGGTTAGGGGTATGGGAATTAAAAAAGGAAAGAACGAATCACGACCGTTGATCATTTGCCATTGATCAAAATGATCAACGGCCAGGATTAAAGGGGAGACTGGGCGGGTCTGAAAACGGGTCAAGGGTTGGGTTAAAATTGGAACTAGGCTGGTCCGGTTGGGGTTAGGATTGGGTCAATTTAAGGGCTAAAATTGAAATAAAATGGGGCTAAATGTTAAATAGCCAGTTTTTCCTTTTTATTTATAAGAAATAGTAATAATGACTTTAAAGTAAATTAAAAGTACTGAGCCAACAAATAATATATAAATATCAATTTAAAAATACTGGAACAAATTTTACAATTATAAAATGCTATTTATCTTAAAGTAGACTATAATTGCAATTATATGCAATTTAGTTTTAAAAAATACTAAATAAATTTATAAAAATATGCAAAAATCATCTTAACTATTTTTTGGTATAAATATGGGAATAAAATAAATTATTCACCAAAATTGATGATTTTGGGAATAATTATGGATTTTGTACTGCTAAAATAAATTGATTTTAAAATCTTTAAAAATTAGAAAAAAAATACCAAAACTCTTGGGCATGCTTATATGTATATGCTATTTTGAAAGTATTTTGTATATAAAAATACATAGGAAAAAATTGGGTATCAACAATCACAACATTCACGGACTAACTATGATTACTACATACAAATATTTGAAAGAAAAAAACACCATATGTCTTGGATACAAGTGATACAGAACATAATAAAAGATAGAGGAGACGTCGGGGTCTGCGGACACCTGCAGGACTACCTCAGAATCTCGGTGGACTGAAGGCTGGCTCGCCTATTGCTGCTGACCAAGCACTTCTCTGGTAACTGCACAGAGTGTAGAGTGTAGTATCAGCACAGCCGACCCCATGTGCTGGTAAGTGCCTGGCCTAACCCCGGTGAGGTAGTGACGAGGCTAGGACCAGACTCCAGATAAACCTGTGCAGTTATATAATATACATCGAAAAAATAAACAGGAAATATGCAGTTTAAAAGAGGGGGGGACATGCTTCGGGGAACGTATCAAATTTAGCAAAAACTAAATAGAAATCTGGAAGGATAGTACAATATTTACAACAATACAACAACACTACTGTTGCGGTGCGCAACCCGATCCCTTATCATTTAACACTGTTGCGGCGTGCAACCCAATCCACATATATAACTGTTGCGGCGTGCAACCCGATCCAATATAATATAATAATAATATTGCGGTGCGCAACCCGTTACAAATATACAGTCAACAATAATCATAATAGGGTTCCGGCAAGGGATCAACAATAAACTACATTATCCCGGCAAGGGAACTCAACAGTACAAATGTCTACGTCCCAGCAAGGGAGGATCAGCTATAACCAATCTTAACTCAACTCCTACTCATCTCAGTTATCACCATTACTCAATCATAAGTAAATTCCACAAGAATAATTAAGTTTTTGCTAAATGTCAAGAATTCATCCACTAAAACATCCATAGTATCATTTAAGAATACAACAAGTATCAATTTAAGACTCACGGTCATGCTCGACACCAACGTATAGATACTCGTCACCATGCCTATACGTCGTACTCAACAAGAAGCAATTAGCAAATAGGACTCAACTCCTAATTCCTCAAGCTAAGGTTAGACCAGACACTTACGTCGATCTTCCACGACCAACTCAAGCCTCAAACACCGCTTTTCCTTTCAAATTTGGCTCCAACCCAATCGAATCTATACATAATCGACTTAATAACATCAATAAATGCTAAATAATCCAATTCCAATGCTTAATTATAGCTTTCTAATCATTCTTCCCAAAAATCTAAAAATCGATCCCGGGCCCGCTTGATCAAAACACGAGGTTCAGACCAAAACCCGATCACCCATTCACCTACGTGCTCGAATATGTAATTTGTTTTCAAATTCGACCCCAAAACGAGGTCTAAATCATAAATAATCAAAAGCCTTAATTCTACCCAAATTCCTAATTTTCTACCCTTAATCACATGTTTTAGGCCTAGAAATCTAGTGGGTGTTGATAAAAATGGAAGAAAACAAGTTAAAGATTACTTACCCAAGAGATTATGTTGAAGAAATGCTTCAAAAATCGCCTAAGAGCTTTGGAGAAGAAGAGGTTTGTGAAATTTTGCAAAAATCCTGTAAGTGTTCTGTTTTTTAGACTTCTAAATAACTGGGCAAAATTACCCTTCGCGTTCGCGAGAGACTCATCGCGTTCGTGATGAGTCAGGCCTGAAGACCTTCGCGTTCGCGACATAAGGCTCGAGTTCGCGGAGCTTTAGCCACTCGAGCCCTCGCGTTCGCATCTAACGGTTCGCCTTCGCGTAAGACAACTACCCCACCCCCTGCCCAGGCCCACTTGGCCTTCGCGTTCGCGTGGCCACGATCGTGTTCGCGAAGGGATAACCCCCCACTGCCTCGCGTTCGCGACCTTTGCTACGCGTTCGCGTAGAAGGAAATTCCTTCAGTAAACATTAATGCATCGCGTTCGCGTGGGTTCTCCCGCGAACGCGAAGAAGAACACATCAGTACACCAGATCAGTTGTATCTGTAATTTTTCTTAAGTCCAAAACTTCCCGAAACACACCCGAGCCCTCGGGGCACCTAACCAAATATACGTATAACTCAACAACATCATACAAACTTATCTGTGCGATCAAATCGCCAAAATAACCTCAATAACAACGAATTAAACCTCAAAATCAAAGATTTTCCTCAAACTTCGTAAAATATCAACTTTAGCAATCTAGGTCTGAATCACGTCAAATAACTCCGTTTTTTACCAAATTTTACAGAAATGTCTTAAATCATATATAAGACCTGTATCGGGCGCCAGAACCAAAATACGGGCCCCATATCATCATGTTCTAATCAAATTTCCTTAAACAATTTCAGAAAACAATTTCCTTTAAAAATTCATTTCTCGGACTTGGGACCTCGAAATTCGATTCTGGGCATACGCCTAAGTCCCATATTTTCCTATGGACCCTCCGGGACCGTCAAATCACTGGTCCGGGTCCGTTTACCCAAAACGTTGACCGAAGTCAAATTAACTCATTTTATAGCCAAATTTTATCATTTTTCATAGATTTTCATATTTAAGCTTTCTGGCTACGCGTCCGGACTGCGCATGCAAATCGAGGTGATGATAAATGAGGCTTTCAAGTCCACGGAAGCATAAAATTTCGTTTTAAAACAAGTGATGACCTTTTGGGTCATCATGTGGCAATGGCTATAACGATTTTTTACGATTTCTCCGTCAGAAAAGCCCTATTTCCCGTAACATCAGAAAATTAGAGAAGGAAAGATCCACCGAATTGTGACATATGAGTGAAAACATAAGAAAAAAGAAGATGAGGAAAAAAAGAAGAGAAAAAGAGTGTAACTAAATCCCTTAACTGAAAGCACTAATAATGAATTGGGAGCCTTTTAAGGTGGAATGTATATATTTTGTAAATAAAACTTGTATAGATAGAATAATTTACTAAACATGAACATTTAGGGTAATATAGTTTACTATATGGCATAGGAATGTAAAAACCCCATTTGTAACATATACCATGTATCTTTTCGTAAGTACAAAAAACAAAATTCATATGCTTAAATAGATAGAAAAAAATCACATACCTTTATTTGTCATATTTCACTTCTTAAAATTCTTAACTAATATTTTAAAATATATATTTTCATCTTTATTAAGATGGAAAAGACTGCAATTTGTGTAGTACTATTTTTAAATATTAAAATTTTAATATTTTAAATATTAAACTAATCTAATTTAATTTGACTTCAAAGAGTAATTAAATCAACTCTAAAAGGAAAATATTTTAACCAGATAAACATAGACAAGAATTAAAATGGGATGGAAAAAGTAACTTCTCTTGAAATTCTAGCTCTCGTTTCTGACTTCATCAATTGCTACTGAATTGGTACCAATCCCCTAAATTATAACCATTGACCTATTAAACCAAATGAAAAAAAAGGGAGGTTTTGACTTCCAATCTCTAACTATCTAGAACATTGTTTTTACACGTCCTAGGAAACACTTCCTGGGAAGACATGCACAACACATTCCTAATTTTACAAATTGAGGTGAAAATATCCAATTCTTATATATATATACTCCCTCCGCTTCGCTTCAATTTATGTGAACCTATTTCCTTTTTAGTCTGTGCCAAAAAGAATAACCCCCTTCCTTATTTGAAAAAAAATTACCTTTACACAATTGATTCATAGCCACACAAAATATATGTGCCTCATTTTACACCCCAAGATCCAAAGTATTCTCTCTTCTTTTAAACTTCGTGCTCAGTCAAATGGGTTCACATAAATTAAAACGGAGGGAGCATATAAAGAGAGAGAATGTTGATTCTGGGACGGTTGGTCTTATATATATTCTTAGACACAGTACATCACTTCATATTCTACAAAAGTCAAATATATAATGAAAGCAAATACTAATACAAGGTCTAAATAGGATAGAATCATTATCCACTACTGAAGAGTGTTTCTCTGCGTCAATTTAGGGCTGCAGACAATTGCTCGATTATACAAACAGCACCAAACTGGAGACAACAAAACGCAGCTAACATTGACAGTCATAGAAGAATTGAAAGCAACAAAGACAAGACCCTTAAAATACCTAGAAAAGAACATACTTTCAGTTTTTGTTCTTAAACTTACACCACCACCTGTTCTACGATCAACCAAGCAAGCATATGCTATAAACTGCTACAGTATATACCCATAAGCGAAAACCCACTACCATGCATATAAGATAAAAGGATAACTTAATTCCCACACAAATACAACATTCTTATTTTCATAATTCCACTTAACTACTTTTATTGGATCTAATGATTATGATTATGGTGACCAGGCAACTTCTCCTTTATCTTCTCCATCATACTCTTCTTCTCATGCTCATGGTGCTCTGGTGCAGTACTAGTAGACATCGCACTCGTTGTTGTTGTCGTTCCCGTACTGTGTTTGTATTGTTCTTCCTCCTTCGACTCCTTGTGCTTCCCAATGGTTAATTTCTCCTTTATCTTCTCTTTCAGACCTTTCTTCTTCGGCCTCCTCCCACCTTGTCCGTCATCCTCTGACTGCACTCGTTAAATATTATATTGAATAGTACTGTTAGGCCATACCAATAAATTAGTACTCAAAAAGCAAGGGAGAGATCGGACTGTAGACTATCAAGGGGAGCTTTTAAACTGGACATGGTACTCCGAAAAGCCGAAGAAAAAAAGAAGCAACTAAAATAAAATTGTAATACGTGAAAAATATAGTACGTATATGTTTATCAGTAATGGACTAATGGCTTCAAACAAATATTCTTACGATATCATAAGGTAAAACTGACCTACGCTTAGAATAATAACTAGTTAATTAACACAAGTTAATTTGCATTAGTCATAGTATAAAAATTCTTTTCACAGTATAAGAAGACGGAATTTCATCAAGGTCTATATAGAATTTTAAGACAGAAGGTATAAAGGAAAAAATAGGATGAGAAGTCATGTTTGAGATGAGAAATATAAGAAATCATACAGAGCTAGAGCTTGAACTGCCGGACCGGTGGAGCTCCTCCTGCTCTTTCTCCTCCTGTTGTTGTTTCTCCTCTTGTTGTTGCTGTTCTTTTCGCAGCTGCTGTTGTTGCTCTGACTCTGGCTTCTGGTGCAGTATTCCACCAACAGTCGTCGGAGCAACACCAGAGCCGGCAGTAGTGGCAACCCCAGTAAGGTGCATGGGGTTACCATGCTCATCGGTCAGCTGAACCGGGTGTCCATATTGGTCTGTCAGCTGAATTGGATTTCCATGCTCATCACGTAAGTCTGCCATATTCTCACGATATATATTCAAAGATAATTGAAAGGGAGATGGAATAAAACGGATATCAGTACTTCTTTCTTGTTTAGAAAAGCTAACTGCTGATTTTAAAAGGAAAACATAGTGTAAAAAACGGTGGAGCAGCAGCTGTTTCTGCATGAGTGCGTTTAACTAGATGGTTACACGTATGCAGGAATAGCATCGCGTAAGCTGCTTGGTGCTGCCACGTAGGAGTTTTAGGACACGTCTTTGGTGTAAAACGACAATAGAATTTAGATTGAGTCGTTTCGAAAGCATCATCTTGATTCTGCTCAATTAGACCGCTAGAGGACAATACGGTTCTCTATCTGTTACAACTACTAGACATAAAATGTATATTAGTACATGACGTTGTTATATGAGATATGCTATAAAAACTATCTAAATAAAGTTTTGCAGGTCACATACCTTCCTATGGTTAATTTTGGCAGTTTTATGTAATTTAATTTATTATTGCAGGTCACTAACGCTTCTAAATCATCATCTTTTGTTATAGACAAAAATAGTTGCAGGCTTAAGTAATTTTTGATGATACTATAAATTTCTTCAACTTTTGTTGTACAAATATTTATTGATGAACTACTGTAAGTCGTTGCATTTTTGTTTTATTTATTAAATCTAACACTTTTTTCTCTAAATTTAGGTTGTGGTACGTGTAGCCGTGATACACGAGTTAACCGGCTCTATTACATTTCGCGTTGCGCATATATGATATTTGTCTTTCGAAAGCTTTATGTACCATTATTATTTCAGGTACCTTGTGTTTGATCCTTTTCTAGTTAACTGCAAATAAATTTCACTATTTTCGACGGTCCGATACTCGGACCGCACAGTGTGAAGTAATACTGGATATGTTATTGTATTGTCGACGCACACTGGATATGTTATTGTATTGTCGACTTTACTAGCGTAGTGGTGGAACCCTACAAAAATCAGGGTTCTATGCTGCTGATGCCATGAAGAAACAAATGCAGTAACTTTACGGTAAAAGTAACTACCCTTTCGTAAATGAGGATTGTGAAAGGTGCGACTGTAAGTCTGTAACTGAATCTTGAGCACAATATTAAAGATAAAGAGATGGCCAGACAGAATATCCCACGTACAAGGGCTAAAAAATCATTACATCTTTAGGCAGGCATACATATAATCTAGATACCTGCTGCAGATTAGAAGCATTTAGACCAGTCAGTCTTCGGGATAATTTCATGCCCCCTTAACATGGAACAAAACAAACTTCAATGTACACCAAGAAAAAACTACCAACGGATACTATGCACTTTTTTGTTTTCTTTTCCTATATAATGAATGGATCATTAATCAACTTGTATTGTATTCCCAATTTCTTACATTTGTATACTTCAAAAGCTAACCTAAATTCTGGGAATCCATATCCGCCAGCAAGATCCTGACGCTTTTATGGCTCTCTACTATCCTTCCAAGGTGAGAGAGCTGACCCGCGGCTTCTGCAGATTTTGGAAACAATGCAATTCACTAGTCAGAAAACGAGATTTAGATACTTTACTAGTGAAGGATATTTGTGATCTAAATCTATCAGAACAAGGGAGAATATAATAGGCAAGAGAACATTATGATATTCCTAGATAAATTTGTTTGTGAAGACACTTTATATTGTTACCATTATCATCCACCAAGAAGCTTTACTCCTTGCTAGATCTTGTCCAGAAAAAACCCTTTTTCCGTGTGGAAAGGCTATCGGTATAGGGTTTTGTCCCCTTGGAACCAAACGAAAAATGACGCAGCAAGAAGGGCTTTCCCGAAGAGCTCTTCATGCTGGAACTTGAGCTCATCTTGAGACACCTTCCGCCGTGTTCACTACTTTTCTGTCGATCAAACAGTGCAAGATTGCCACTAAAATCACTGTCAACAATCCGATTCCTGAATCTCTTTCGAGCTTTCAAGTCCATCTGAGCTTTCATTGCTTTTTCGGACATCTTCAATGCCTGCTTCTCCCCAAAAGTACAAACAGGACAAGCTGGGTCATACTTGTTGATTTCAGGTGTCATACTCTCCAAGCACTCAGCATGAAAAACGTGGCCGCAAATTAGAACAGAAACAACAGCAAGTTCATTTGAGGCCCATGAAGTTCTCTCTGTTAGCAGCTTCGTACAAATGCCACAGGTTTGGAGATCTACAGAAGGTGAACTGGAACTTCGACCACTAGCTCTGCTTACCTTATCACGATGGAAACTCATGGATTCACTATCAAATGACCACCTTTCTCTACGAGGATTTGTAAGATCAGAGAAGGCAGGAACAGACCATCCATCTGATGATCCACCATTAGAGGCTCTTGTTGATTCATTACTCCAACCAGGGAGCACCAAGGATGATGATTCTTCAGAAATTGAGAAAGTAGGTGACTTTATCCCTGGTGTATGACTATCAGAAACTTGTCGTCCAAGCTGGTGGCCAGAAGAATAGTGAGGCAAAGGAGTAGAGCTCGCAGGAAGCAGCTGACTTCTTGATGATAAAGGAGATGTAGATAATGATGAAACAGAGGGAGCTGATGGAGCAGGAGAGGGGTATGGAACTGCTGATGACTCAATTGATTCTTTGACCTAATTACCAAAAGAAATGAAATCAGAAAGGTCAAAAACTAACAAAACATGCCTGGAAAGTAACTCCAGCAAAACTTATAACTGCTCTGTTCTTACCTCTGTGGAATTTCTCACAGCGGATTGATCTGCAAAGGCAAGAAAACTACTGTTATTTTACAAAGTACAAACAGCATTAACAGTGCATCAGTTTTTCTTTCATGTCATATAGAACCCAAAGGCCACGAAACAGAATATCCTATTCTAATATCTAGAATTTTACGGGTCCCGAAGAATAATGCAAATGCTGTTCCATTTCCGACAGAATTGACAAATTAAAATCACCAAACATCAGAACAATTGATCATCCTCTGGTCACAATCAAATTAAGAGATGTTGGGGGTACAAAAAGTGACATCTACCTTAAGACATGTTAAATAGGCCATAATATATATTACTGAGTAAATTTATGTCGAATTGAGCATGATTATCGGCTTCTAGCTTCAAACATGATTAAATGAAATCAAGGGAATCTGCTAATAATGTTTGAATAAGTCAATAATGTCTTATAACCAGGTATTTTCAACTAACTGCCTAGACATGATAAAGAATAATGGATTTATGTGGTACTCACTAACTGACCAGGCAAAATTACTGACTATTGCAATTGAACACGAATTAAGACCACAGACTGTTAACTAGGAAAATGCAAGCCAATTCAGAAGCCTAATCATTACATATCAGGCTACATTTCTGGGTATGACCTAGGGCCGGAGGAACATCATTTAATCATAGAAAAAAGGTCTAAGAAGAATTATAGGCATATCATTTCGCAAATAAAAAAAGTTCAAAAATGGAAACTACACGTCTGCTTTGGATAATTCTCAACTCCAACCAAGAGCTTTGGAGTTCAAAGGAGCAACGGGGGAAGGGAAACTGTCGACTCCTAGGCAAGAGCACATTGGAGTTAACCATATAAAAAAAAATTGCAAGCTAAAATGGAAAATAAAAATATTCAACACTATTTCTTCCTAAAAGCTGCAGAGCATGGTCATACAAGAGCAGAAAAAATGTATATCCAAACGCAACCATTTAGTGGATAATCTAGCTTTTGAGATAAAAGAGGCGGGAAGAAGAGAAAAAGTACTCATCACATATCATTAGTGCCTACTCGATTACACATTCAAATAAACTCATTCATACATAGAATACAAGAATGCTTGGAGATCAAAGTCAGTGACACGATGTATCATGGCTCGATTTGCATTAAAAAAAGAAGGCTTGGGAGATCAAAAGCTTCTATCGACCGAGTATTTGAACCCCAACTTGATGAAAACTAAACTGAAACTTTTAAAACCAATTATTTATATTTGCACTAACAGAAAAATAAGGCCCAAGGAACATTCATCTATATCATTTAAGCTAGTGACAAGTTAATAATTCTTTTTTTGCAGGATGAATGAGATCCCCAATTTTGTCATGATGAAAACCAGCTCATCTCTCTCTATGACCATCAAATATTAGGTTTGGATATCTCAGACACCACTGACCTCCCTTAATAGCATCTCATACAACCCAAAAACAACATAAAACAAGAAAATCATTTTAAAATTTCTTTCAAAACTTCCCACAAAAGTAGACCTCTACCACATCTATTCACTTCAGCTCTCTCCTTATGGAATGCAAAAATCAGGTCTAGGATTATCTTATCATCCGATCCACCAGAACATATCACCCTAAATGATCATTTTTCACTAGAGAACTCAAGGTTGTAACTTTCAACTGACTTATTTATTTGCTTAACTAAAAGACTGATGAAATATATATACTTATGGTTCCACACTACAACATATGACAAAAATTTCCTCCCAAACACCAATCTCATAATGCAGACATGGAATCAAAAGTCCAATTTCATGCACTTCAGGAGAGAAAGCGTGTAATTCACAAAGAAAGGAAAAACGGAAAGCAAGCTCTTCAATATACAGTCAGTACGTTCACATCCCTTTCTCTTTATTTTTTAGAAGAATCAGGTATTAGCACCTACAATCAGGCTAAGTGAAGAGAGAGCCATGTTGACGTTTACCAGATAGAGGAAGCGTTGAGTTCACCGTGTTGCAATCAGAATCTGGTGACTTCTGTAACGCAAGTGATCGGAAACTATCCAATGGACTACCCTCTTCAGATGCATATAGAGTTTCTAGTGTTGTTCCAGATTTAAACTCTGATCTATCATTTCCAACAACTCCATCAGAAGACCAATTGACTGATGTCTCCTCCCCAGCAACACGTCCCCGGTTATCCCAACGAAAGCTCCAGGAAGGCGAGTATCGGACATTCCTCTGCAAACTTTCACTGGTTGATCCATTTATAACCGCTCGATCTCTAGCAGCAACACAACAAGCTGAACCCATGCTTTCTTAGATACAAAATGTGAAATTCATAGGCAGCTAAAGTCACATCAATAATAATACCAGCACGTTCACTAGACGATGGAA